AGAGAGAGAGACTGTTTTTCTGGTATACAATTTTACACATATGCATTTATATTATATGTATAATACTTTGTTTTACGTACACATTTGTGTCGATTAATTTTTAAGATGTGATGTCTTTTTCATTGTAATGCGCATTGAGCATCTTTTAGGAAATGGAAATGCGCAGTATAAATGCTATTTATTATTATTATTATTACATTTCTTTAAGTGAAATAAATTTCTCCCCCATCATAAATTTGAATAAAGAGATAGACTTCTATATGTGCATAATATTATACACAATCTGCAGGCTGTCTCCGCGGAAGCATCAGGATAAAGCTACGTTTGAGTTTTATTTTGCAGAGACCTTTTGAAACAGGCCTAAACAGCATTGGTAGATATTTTCATTCCCACCGTTAAAGGAAGGGAGGCCACTGTTAATTCAACATGGCGGCCTCCTTGAGGCAATGGCTGTGTCGCCAAATTCCAAATCAACAAATTTATGTTCTTCGAACAGCTGCACTTTCGGTTGTCAAGCGCTCCTATAAGACCGTCCAGATACGTAAAGTTTTGAGAGAGGAAAAATTAAACAAGTCTGTAACTATCAAGGTACTAATGCCTCACAGTTATTCTATGCCGGTTAGATCTAGAATCTAGACTAGAATCTAGATCTAGATCTAGAGGGAAGATTGAAGAATACCGGACCACTCGTACATTATTGCGCGAGAAAGTGGGATGGGTGGGGCGGGTGGTTGGGGTGGAGGAGGGGGTTCAGGGGGGTCTCCCCCCTGACAAAATTTTAATGAATAGATCTACCGGTCCGAGATTCTCCATTGAGAGATATTAAAAATGGGAAAATTATGAATTCCTAACCTAAGTAAGGCCGCCGCCAGTAAGGTTGAGACACAGGCAAAGTCAGTCCGCTGGTCCGGTATTCTTCAATCTTACCGATCTAGAAAATCCAGATATAGATCTAGATATCTAGATCTACATTCTAGATCTAGTTGGCAGGCTACGTTCACGGCGCCCTGAATGCAGTTTGCAGGCGCTGTTGAGGCTACGTTCACGGCACTAAAGCTAAAGCTTCGTTTAGGAGGAGTGTCCACTGCTGGTTTAAGTTAGCCAGTTTATTCAGTGATGACAGTGACGTATAAAACTTACAAGTATATTTGATCGAAGTGACTACATCTAGACAAAAATTATATTCGGACTCTGAATTGAGTCCGGCGTGACGTCCCTTCCGACTTTCTACCATTGTTCCTAAATATTTCCAGCATTTATGAATTTTTTTGGGGATTATAAAATATATATACTGATAACAATCGAGACGTCTTTAATATCCGGAAGAGGCTAGCCGTACTTAATAACGACTAGACTGCTATGCTAGCTGTACTTATTTTTAATATGATGGCTGGCCTGACCACAAAAAAAAAGGCCTACTGAATTGTAAATTTTTAGTTTGCAGTACCTAAAATAGGCCTATTTGTATTTTGAGACTAAACCAGATGCCTTAATGTCAGTGCATGTATTTTAAAACTGAATAATTACTAATGAGACCTGTTTTCTAATGCTAGTAGGGCCTAAGATAAGTACGGCTAGACTAGCAGGCTACTTACGGCTAGACGGCTAGGCTAGCCGTACTTATATTGATGGCCTAAAGTATTTGTATTTCAGACAAAACCGAAAGGTGCCTTACTAAACCTGAATAATTACTAAATCTAGATCTAATGAGACCTGTGTACTCAACAGGTTTGAGTCGATAGGGCCAAACCTAGATCTGAGTACGGCTAGACTGGCAGTCTAGCCGTACTTAAGTATGGCTAGCCACTTCGTTAATATCCAGTTACTAGATCTATCTAAACTGGCCCTCCCTGGATCATTAGTTTGAACAGAACAACTAAGTTGAGTTGACCTTGTCAGGGGCCAAGTTAACTAGGTTGACCAATGAGATTGCGCGTAGCGATATTGCACTCTCGGCTTGCTATGGGAAGAGGTGTTTGGAAGAGGCCACGGCTGTCCATTTTGTGCGATGTGATTTTTTAAAAAATGATTACAGAAAAACTATAACACACAACAAAATGAAATAAAACATGTGGAAAGACAAATGGTGGTGGAAGTAATGATGATGCTGTAGTGGTGGTGGAAAGTCCATGAGTTGTCGGTTATCGTGTACTTAAACACTGCCATTGGGTAGATCTAATGAGAGTGCAGTCTTTTGACTTTTGACACAATTACACAGTCCTTGTAGGCAATTCTAGCTCTAATTCTGGTTTTACGTAAAATCCCCCAACAACAGTTATATTATGTAACCTCCTTACACTGACATAATAACTCACTTAGAAGCTGAGTCTGAATAAATAAGAGAGTTTTTTCGGACCCGAGTCCGAATAGATAAAACCCATATTCTGACTCAAGTCCGAATAGATAAAAATTATATTTTTGGACTCGAGTCCGAATAGAGCTGGCCATTATTTCATTTTTGATATTTTGGCCAGCTTCAAGTGTTCCATCCCATGAAATGAAGGAAAACGAAGCGCCCTTGCTCTTACAGATGGGATATGGGAAATTGGATACGGTACATGGGAAACAAGAGGTGAGAGATGGGAAACAGAAGGTGGGATTCGGAAGATGGCACTGGTCATAAAATGTGTACAATAATACTGTATTGCACCGGGCCAGCCTGGGAACCGACGCAGAGAGAAAAGGACGGGAATCAATTATTCTTATAATAACAAACACCCTCTCTCTCTCTCTCTCTGTCTTTCTGTCCGTCTGTCCCCTTTCTCTTTCCTTCTCTCTTTCTCTCCCCCCCCCTTCTCTCTATTTGTCTCTCTCTCTCTCTCCCTCCCTCTTTCTCTCACCCCCTTCCCTCTCCCTCTCCCTTTCTCTCTCCCCCCCCCCTTCTCTCTCTCTCTCTCTCTCTCTCTCTCTCTCTCTCTCTCTCTCTCTCTCTCTCTCTCTCTCTCTCTCTCTCTCTCTCTCTCTCTCTCACACACACACACACACACACACTGCCCACAGACAAAATTGCACGCTGTGAACCCGAGAGCACTGGAATATTTGTTTACACTTGTATCCCGGTCCGTCTCGCGCTAACACAAGGTCGCGCCCAAGTCTCGCCCGGACGCAAGATAGGGCAATTGAAACATCTTGGTTGGCGTAGACATTTTTGTCACATTTGTCCTAATGCGTTGTTACATAATTGAGAGTTATTCATTTTCCCTTACACTGGTCGATCGGTCAAGGGTCACTGCTTCGTTTTCCTTAATCTCATGGGATGGAATGCCTGAAGCAGGCCAAAATATTAAATATGCGTCACTGTCATCACTGACTAAAACGGGCTTACTTAAACTTAAAGTGGCAGTGGATGCTCCGTCTAAACAAAGCTTGAGTGCCGTGAATGTAGCCTCAACAGCGCCTGCTAACTGCAGGCCCTTCAGACTACGTGGCCAATGCGTATTATGTATATTTTAATGTAAGATTTTGATAGGGCCTAGATATAGATCTATTCTACTCTAGATCTAGATCATCAAGACAAAATCTTTAAAAATGCAACAAAACAACAACATAGCGGGTGTTAAGCTGTGGTACAGTTAGGTTAGGGCGGTAGTACAATGACAATGGCAGGGATTGGATAATAATATTAATGTTGTGCAGGAGCTGGAAATAACAAAATGTGAACATTTTCATTTGAATAAGCTGAAGGGGGCACTCTTTGGGAGAAGTGGTCCCGGCGTAAGCTCTAACTATAAATATTCATACACAAAATCGGAAACAAAAACAGAAGTTGAGGAAAAAAGCTGACTGGGTGTGGTGAAAAGGCCACCGGTAAATTTATGGAAAAGGTCCAAACCCATTGTATACTTTTTTCTGCACTATTTTAACGTTTTTTTTGTGTGCTGAGAACAATTTTGGCTTTAAAAACTGTCAAAAACCATTATTTTTGTTAATTTAGCAGGGGGGGAGCCCCCTGCACCCCTGGCTCCCTGCACCCCCAGCCACGCACCCCCCCTCCCCTTCCCCTCGCAGGGGGGCACCCTTTTTTTACGCAACTTCTGTTTTTGTTTCCGATTATGTACATAAATGTATAAATTTCTATAAAGTTAGGCCGGAACCACGTCTCCCGAAGAGAGCCCAGAAGGGCAAGTGTTAGAGTTGTAGTAGAGTTTAGCACCCAAACCAAATGCCAGTAACAAAAACAATGCCATTGCTATCAGAATTTAGTGTTGTATTGTAAGTATAGTAGTCAAACTTGCCATAATGGCCACCTGTAATATATTAATATCATGAATAAAATCCGCCTGCCTGTACAAACGGCCGCTTTCCATCTCCTCCCTTGCGTTTTTTTCAATATAATTTCACGTAAAACAGTCACCTGTCCAACGTGACCGCGGCCACCTTATTTTGTCAACCTCCAACATGTCTTAGACGGCCACCCATTTCTCTCATCGCCCGACATTTTGTTGTTGTCTATTAGCCCCTGATGTTGTGGACGAGCCATCATAATCCAATCACCTGTCGTAATTATTGTTAGTCCCTCCAACCAATCATGTTGTATAGGCCCCTCCCACTGTTGACCAATAGGTAACAATGAATTTTCAGCTGCTGTTGAGGGAAGCGTGTGATCCCTCATAACCCATAATATAAGTCCTGCCCACAACCTGTATACAAATTGTAAGTCTTATGAGATGAGTGGTTACTGTTTACCCAGTATGTAACAGAGTAAAAATGAACGTCAACATGAATTTGCAACAGAACAGAAGCATTGCTCGTTCTTCGAGTAATGGCGACCCATGTGTTTGTTTAATTATGTCAGCTGGTTTTCCTCGTCTGACAATTTTCGTTTTATTTTACCCTGCACAAAAATCGGCAAAGAAGAAAAGCTATTAACCCCCCCCCCCCCCCCCCCCCCCCCCCAACAACAAAAAAGAATAACCTTCCCCTTCCCATTTTTTTTTCATTTGTTTCTCTCACTGTCAATTTCAGTGAAATAATTGCATTGTATACTATATTCATGTTGCTGAGTAAAATCATTGCTCATTTCTCTGCCTCTGACAGTTGGGCAATTTGACTAGACTAGCTCCCCACCGTCTTGAATGTAAAGGGTTTCACCAATGCTTTGATGTTCACAAAGAAAATAAATTTCTTTGATCTGATTCCCAAAAAATTATTGCCAAAAACAGTTTTTTTTTAAAAATTTAAGACTCATTTGAGGATTTGAGGCAACAGCTCATTTTCCTGTAGATTGTTAATCTTGAATAAGGTTTTCTGTGCTTGAAGAGTAAAGGATCTGTGATTTTTAGACATTTGTGATTTGAACTCTGCAGACCCTGTCATGTTATTATAGCTTAAAAAAACATTACTTATTGAGAGATTATCTGTTGTTTTAGAACAGCCCGAAAGTTATAGTCACTTTGGTACCATAGAATTTTGTCTACAACTGTGGGCTTTTATTGTCTTGGGGTTTTTGTCTTCCTTTCTAGGGCTGGGTGAAAGCCGTTCGGTGGCACAAAGAATTGACTTTTCTTCAAGTCTGTGATGGCTCAGGCCCTGAACATCTACAAGTTGTCATGCCAGAGTCCGTGGTCACTCGATGTGGCGATGTTACATTTGGCAGCTGTGTCAGTGTGGAAGGCACTCTAGTTGAGAGCCAGGGAAAAGGTCAGAAGCTGGAGCTGTTGTCATCTGCTGTGCACGTTGTCGGTGGTTGTGATCCTTACGTAAGTTACTGGAGGAAAAATTTTCTTGATCAGCATTTAAATTATTAGAGAAATTACCTATGTATGCTTTTCTAACTGAAAGCTGCATTGTGAAATATGTTTTATTTATTTAGAAATTTGAGGCAGCGTTGTGAAATCAGACGCTTGTCAAAATGCAGAAATTGGAGAAACAGGCATTTTTTCCTCCAGTTTGTAAACTTTTATTGAATTTTTATTTTTTGGCGCAACCTCTTTTATAAACATCCATATAAAAACACATTTCCATGTGATTTTTACTGAAAAACATTGATTAAAGGCACAAAATATGTCATTTTTCTGTTTTCAAGGAGTCTTTAGCTTTTGGAGTTACGAAGCTTTGGTGGCCATTATCTCGCTAATTTCATCACCGAAACCAGGCAACCTCACTTCCTTCAATCGCAAATATCTTGATTTCTATTCAAGATGGATGGACATTTATTTTATTGGAAACAAGGCAAATAAGTCAGCTTTTAGATGATACCAATAACTCCACATACCCAAAAATTGATGAGCGCCTGATTCAAACGCGTCGTGACACAAATGTATTATGTATTGTGTTCAATAATCTCACCCAATAGTTGAACAGTAAATTCCTTATTCAATAAAAAAAATTTAAAATATTGTGCCACTGTTGTATGCCAACAGTTTGAGAGCCCTCTAGCAAGGTGTTCCATTAGTTTAATTCATTTAAGAATCCAGAATCTAGGTGTAGAAATGGCCAATGTAAGTCACACACAAAGGGTTGGATGACTTGTGCAGGTTCAACAACGATATGTCTTCTATTGTTTTATCTCTTCCCTGCATAATTTACAATTCTCTTTGGTTCCCATGAAGGATTTTCCCCTGAAGCAGCGTACCCGACACCCACCCCAGTACACCAGAGACTTTCTGCACATGAGACCAAAGTCCAATTTGTTTGGGTCTCTGTTACGAATCAGGAATGCTGCTTCCATGGCAGTTCATCAGTACTTTCAGGTGAGAAAGTGATTCATATTTTCACACAGTTTAGAGCAAAATCAGTTTTCTGTTTGAAAAAAAATCTATTAATTTGGCAATAGATACAGACCATCATCATGAAAATATTCCATCGCAAATTGTTTTTGTCTTTGTATTTCAGAAAGAAGGGTGTATCTTCATCCACACACCCATCCTGACGTCCAGTGACTGCGAAGGAGCTTGTGAGACATTTAAAGTGGAGGTAAGAAATGTATTGCAGCTCAATGTGGCCACAACATTGTCCTCTTCTTGATATTATGCTTCATTTGTGACTGCAGTTTGTTAAAAAATGTTGGTAACGTCCATACGTATAATGAAATTGAAGTTGTTATTTTTAAATTGAGTGTTCCACTTTTGCATTAACATGTTAACTCATTCTCTTGATGAAGTCAGAACTCAGCAAAACTAGATGTTTCATCTCACAATTTCTCTTCTTTGTCATAATGCACCTTTTGCTCTCTGTGAGAGATTTTATAGATTTTTTTCTATTATTTTTTCTCTTTCTTAGTTGTCGACCACCCACCATCTTTAAATACTTTTTCTTTGGCCTGGTACTTGTGTTTAGGTCCAAAGACATCTGTCGTTTTACTGACAATAAATGGGCAGCTGTTGATGCAATGCATAAAACTAAAGCTTCACTGTCATTACCTTTCACAAAAATGCAGCAACACATTGTCTTAGAAATGTTTATTTATTTCATAAGCCATCTCAAGCGGAGCTGAGAGCAAAGATTTTGCCTGACGAGGGCAGTGACTACAGCGATGATGATGAACTGTCCCGTGGACCT